GGAGGAGGTGATTAGGACTCCCCGGACTTCTGAACGATTCATTTCTTGATTTTTATGTGTAAGGTACCCTCTAATGTGTCAATGCACATTTCTTTTAGTGAAACAAAAACTTTGTTTAAAATGTAAGTGTTTTATTTTTACTCCCCCCTCGACATAATTTAGCTCATGTAAAAGAGACAACCCGGACTGAGAGGGATACAGCATCCTAGTAGAAAGACTGACATACTCGATGAAAAATCTCCCCACTTTGAAATCAAACCTTGGTCTCTTGCGTGCGAAAGCGAAGCATCTAACTACTACACAACAGGCGCCGTTGAATACTTTTCTTTATGTGAAACATTTAAAATGTATTTTTCTTTAGGTGAAACAATTACGTTTCTTTACAGCGAGAGACTTTCAGCCCCCCAGAATGTCCCGGGAAGAAGGCTACTTCAACAAGCGAGTCAGCTGAGAGACAGGATCACTCAACAGCTGCGCTCTGCTCACCATGACCCATCCGTGGCAGGGGCCGGGGACCAGCTCCTCACTCCCGCCGATTTAATTCAGTTCCTGGCCTCGGGATCTTCTACCTTTGGATCCAACGGCCAGACACCGGAAGCAGATTTTGGTGTGACGCATTTGGAAAGCCGAGGGAATTCAGCTAGCTCGATCACGTCCACTGTGTCAGGTAAGTTCTTTGGAAATACTTGAAAGGTGAACTTGTTGTCACAGGGGCATGCTTCTTTAGGATCTTTTAAAGGGGAGGGGGAGGAGGGGGCTGTTGTCATTTCTGGCTTCTTCAGCCTCTCTTACAACTATTTTTTAAATCCCATAAGAACCCCACAAAGCCTTATTTTATCACATATCAAGCATGTTAGTCATCCCCATATCTTCATAAAGTCTGTCATTTAGTTTCTTTATCGTCCATTTTCTCAAAACGCGTTTTTTGCTGTATACTTTTTAAAAAATAACTACATTTTTGCAATCCCCAAGGACACAGTTGAAACCTGAGCCTTCAATCTCATGATTGCGGTTGCCCAATCTCAAGATTACCAACATAACCTAAACATAAATATTTTTTTGGAGAAATGATTTCATAGTGATTGCTGCTAAATATTTTTTAATGTGGGTTAGTTTACACTGATGTTAACTATACTAAATAATGAATTATATTTATATATTGCATTTCCATTTGTAAGAAAATGCTCAATGATCATAGTTTCAATCGTGATCCTTTCACTCCCTCTCTATCAATATTTCTCTCTCTTTCTCTCTCTCTATCTAACCCTCTGTCTTTCTCTACAGTTTTGCTAATATTGTATTGATCTGAAAACTATACAAATATCTGAGAGTGGCAATCAGTCCTGCGCCATGACTCTATCAAGTACATACTTCTCTCTCTCTCTCTCTCTCTCTCTCTCTCTCTCTCTCTCTCTCTCTCTCT